TCCTTCCCCTTAAGTAAACACATCTAATTGCTGTTTTCCTTCTCAGGAACTCAAAGGGAGACAAACTCAGTTATACAACTAAACATGTCATCCATTAATCATGTACCTTTTTACTGATACATGAATGCTAAAGGGTGCTGGACCTGGGGGAGAGGAGTGATGTACTGTGAATTATTTAAGGAATTAGTGGTACTTTTTATCTTCGTTACTGAAGAATGTCATTGTTTCCATCTTTAAAGATTTTCAAATGTCACCCCCAAATCTGTGGCTCATCAGCAACAATATTATACTAGAGATAGAAATGTTTAAGATTTTTTTTTTTAGAAATGTTTAAGATTTTTTAAAGCATTTCTAATTTTTTATGGACATGAGCAACTATTACTATATAATTTGCTTCCTTCTCCAATAAAAGCTAAAAACTATTCCTACCTCCAAGAATCTTGCTAGCTTTATTTTCCAGGTATTTCTGGAAAAATGTCAGCATTTACAGGCCCCACTGTACACCTGGACTCTTTAGTCTCACGATTCAAAGTTACTACTTTAAGGTTCTCTGGGTAACATGTTCCTTTCATTCTCTTCCCACGCTCCCATCACCAGGGCTCTGTCTATGTTTCACACAGCATCAAGTTCAAGGCTTAATAATCATAAAGCTTTACCTGCTTTCCTGCAACACACTGAAATAAATAACCAGTAACTATAACCGGTATGATTTTTCTCCTAATCTAAATGACTTATAGGATTAAGTACTTACTTCAACAGTCACATGAAAATTTCTTGACATTTTCTTTCCTGGTTTAGATTTTAGTAACTGACCAGCTGAAATCTTTGTTATATGACAAGAGATTTTTGAATGAAACCTGCACCTTTCATGCTCAACTACAGACTCTGGATCTCGATGAATACCGTCTGTTTTCGCTGGCTTTCTCTAGCCAGGAAAAGGAGTTGCGGCCTTGGTATTGTAGGCCGAGTAGAAACCCAGATCCCCCGCTTGGACTGCTCTGATGCTCAAGAAGGGGACCTCCTCACCCCTGCTGAGGAGGGAAGGGTATTCCAGCTCCTCACATGGTGTCCATCACCCTGAGGAAGGGTGGCCTGTTATCACTGTTGGTGAAAGTCCTAACTCCCACTAGACGTTTTCTGCTTTTCATTTTCATTTATTTAGAGTAATCTGGCCGCCCCAGGTCTTAGTTGTGGTATGTGGGATCTGGTTCCATGACCAGAGATTGAATCTCGAACCCCTGCCCTGGGAGCGTGGAGTCTTAACCACTGAACCACTAGGGAAGTCCCAGCCATAGACATTAAAAAATAAATAAATCCAAGATGAAGAACCCAACGTTTTTAAGAGGAAGCTGGTGAAATAACCTATCCCAGAATCAGAATCAAGCTGCCTACCAACTTACTTTCTGATCCCTTCCCAACCAGGACTGCAGTGCGTTGGCTCCCTGAGCAAAAGCCACACGTCACCAATGATAAAGTAACAGCATCTCACGGTGAAACTCTGAGGGACTGGCCTACGGGCTTCCAAGCTTCACCCCAGAGCGATGTGTGCGTGCTTTTTCTGCCTCTACCAGCTGGATCGCTTCACTGTTTGGCACACAGTTACCTCCCTTCCCCTCTTTATGTGATGATGCCCCTTAAAATCAATGGTCATCTAAGCAACATTAGCTTGAATTCCCACTTGCTTCAGAGAAGATACAAGGAGCCAATCCTGGGTGATCCTGCTGTAATCACTCTTGTCAGAGGATCTGGCAGATCAAATGCCCACACCAGGCAGGGCCCTGCTTCAAGTCCTGGAGACATCAGCTAACTCTAATTGGCAGCCTGGTCAGCAAACACACAATATAATGTCTACCTCTTTTGCATAAATCTCACGTAATCCTCAGGTACATACACACTGTGCTTCCCAACAAATAGGTGAGGAAACTGAGGCGTTGGTTAAAGGAAATGTCTGAGCTGGCATAAGGGCTGATATTTGAGTCCAGGTTTAGCCTGGCTCCAAAACCCTGTCTTTCTGTTACACAAAGCCACCTCCCTTAATCAGCCACAGGCTCTTCAAGGCTAGAGAAGGGGAGATACCAGTGAGAAAAATTACTTTTTTTTTAAGCAAAAAAAATCAACTGGATGATCAGTCCAATTCTGCTCGTGTTCCAGGAGATGGAGAAAGAAACTGTCTTCTCAGCACAAACAGTTCTATTCTGTCCCAGTGCTCCCACACGACCCTGGAGACACAGCCCTGCAGAGAGAGCCATGCAGTGTGTTTAAAAGCAGGAAAATCAGAAGGCTCTCAGTGAAACAGGTCAAAAAACAAGAACTCCAGAAATGCTCATTAGTGCCTTAAGATCTATTTTATGTACCTTTTCCTTGCCCTGGAAAAGTCTGACTGATGTGTTGATCCTTACATTTGTAACTTTCTATCATTAGTATACAAGGAGCTAGATATAGAGAGGAACACATGATAAGAGAGGAATCAGCAGTACTGCTAGATCCAACTCCCACCACTTCAAACTATGGGAAGGAGATGTGCAGTCGTAGAGCAGATGTATTCCATTGGAACCTCTGGAAATTGAGGCTGGGGTGTTAACTTCCCCCAAATCCTCTGTTGATTATAATGCACTGTACTGAATAACAGACTTCCCTGGTGGCTCAGGTGATAAAGAATCTGCCTGAAATGCAGGAGACCCAGGTTCGATCCCTGGGTTGGGAAGATTCCCTTGGAGAAGGGCATAGCAACCCACTCCAGTATTCTTGCCTGGAGAATCCCATGGACAGAGGAACCTGGCAGTCCATGGGGTCACAAAGAGTTGGACACAACTGAGTGACTAACACACATACTGAATAACAATCACAGCTCTAAAGAAAGGTTCCAAGAATCATTCCATCAGGAATTTACCCCTGGACATCCCGTAGAGTCAGGGAAATTTATGACTTGGTTGTCTCTTAAAAGTATGTAACTTTCAACTGAAGATTTAAGGTGAGGATTTCTGCCATTGTGGCGAGTTATGCAGTTTTTCTGGGTCTCTCCAATGTTTACATATTATTAAACTTTTGTTTGATTTTATCCAGTTTGGGGGGGGGGGAGTTCATTAATTAGGTGAACTGATGCTTTCCATAGTAATCATCACTTTAAAAGCCTGGATTTAAGAAGTGATATTTTACTTCCTCTCTCATCATCTATTATATTAGGATGAGTGGTCATCAATGCTTGCTAGCAATTAATGATCTTCAGGTCTTCTCTCTAAATGAATAAAATAGCAATTAAAATTTTAGAGCCCAAATGCCACAGTTAGTAAAACCAAATCACTATGCAGGAATTTAGATGGCTGAGAAGCTAAGTTTGATGGAAAAGAAACAATGCATTTCTACACTAGGGGTTCCTGCACAAGAAGAGTTCACTTTTCAACAGGGTAATTTGTTGCTTTTCACATTCTGAGAGCAGAGGCTGCCCTCCAGTTTCTTCTGAGCTTTGGACAAACTTTGGTCTTACTTGTGGATCTCATGATGCTCTGGTAGAGCTACAAGATGACACAGCTTTAAGGAAGGATAACCAGTGTCACTAAAGGTAAAACACCAACTTTAAACATGAAAGAAGTAGGAATGTAATACAAATGGCTTTGTTTTGGAAGCTTGAGAGAGAGGAAAACTGCCTCCAAGGTTCTGTGAACCAGGGGCTTCCCTGGTGGCTCAGTGGTTAAAAAAAAAAAATCCACCTACCAATGCAGGGGACACGGGTTCAATCCCTCATCTGGGAAGATCTCACATATCGCAGAGCAGCTAAACCCGTGCACCATGACCATTGAGCCTGTACTCTAGCACTCGGGACCCGCAACTACTGAAGCCCACGGGCCCCAGAGCCCGTTAACTCCACAAGAGAAGCCACGGAAGCGAGGAGCCCGCGTACCGCAACCAGAGAGCAGCCCATGCAGGAACAAAGACCCAGCACAGCCAAAAACAAACAAAATTATATCTACAAAAGGTTTTGTGAACCAGTATGGGATTTGGGTGTGCTATAATCTCAGCGGTTAAAGGGGTGATCACTCTATCTCTTCCTTATTTGGGGCTCCCCTGGTGGCTCACTGGTAAAGAATCCACCTGCCAGTACAGGAGACGTGTGTTGGATCCCTGGGTCGGGAAGATCCCGTCGAGAAGGAAATGGCAACCCACTCCAGTATTCTTGCCTGGAAAATCCCACAGAGGAGCCTGAGAGTTACCGTCCATGGGGTCGCAAGAATTGGATGTGACTAAGCAACTATGATAACAACAACTTCCTTATTTAGCTGCTGGATTTTTCACTGGTTTCCATGAAAACCAAGTGGGGTTTTTAAAATCATATAGCTCAACCTCTCAAAATTAAACAAAAATTGAAAGCTAAGTTAAAAACATCAAGAAAAGTGAAAACAAGAAAACATACTGAGCTCTAAATAAACATTTTTCTTTTAACTTTGATGAGGTAGGGAATGAGTTTTTTCTTTTTTCCTAACTAACTACAGGGTAGGTTGCATTTTAGGTCGTTTGCCCCTGGTGGCTTAAGAGGGTTAAGTGTCTACCTGCAATGTGGGAGACCTTGGTTCAATCCCTGGGTCGGGAAGATTTCCTGGAGAAGGAAATGGTAACCCACTCCAGTACTCTTGCCTGGAAAAATCCCACAGACGGAGGAGCCTGGTAGGCTACAGTCCATGGGGTCACAAAGAGTCGGACATGGCTGAGTGACTTCACTTTCCTTTCCTTTCCTTTCCTTTCCCTAATGAGAATATACCCATAAGCAGGTCTGATCTATAGTGACCACTAATCTTTTGCAGAGTAGAAATAAACATAAGTTATTTGCATTTATTAAAATTGAACTGAAACCTATCTCCCAATACACAAATTACTCACTCTCCAACCTAATTCTATGCCAGTTGTTTTCCATGTAACGAAAGTTCAAGCATATGAACATTTTGGGAGGCCAAGGTGTTGCTAATATATTGTCAATCAAACTGATTTTCAAAAGGATGCATGACAGGTTCACAGTTCCACATTTACTGAACTTTATTAACAAGTAAAACACATATTAACATGTTCTATATATGGGAAAGGACATTCAATAATAAATGGCACATTATCATCTAACAGTTGAACTTTATCAAGAATGAAGTTTTAAAAAATAATACACATATTTCATGACTACTTGAAGAATTAACAAAAAAACAATTTAACAGCAGTTTAAACATATAAAAGCTCACTATTTACTATTTACCATAAATGGAATCATTTCAATACAACTTCTATTAAAAACAAAAACAAAAAAAGGAAAAAAAAATATATGTACTATTTCTTCTACAGGCCTAACAGGTGTCTAGGCAAGGCTGTGACAACAGTAATTGACTCCTGCCCTAATACTGCAGTTCCGTCTCTCAAGGCAGTAGGTTTAGGCAGTCACTTCTCAATACAGTGGAGAGTTATATACAGGGTGATCATACAAATTCTCCTCCAAATTAGGACACTTATGAGAGAGGAGGCACAATTTAAGCTCAGGAAATAGTAATAACCAGGTCTGTTATGAGAAAACTCAGGATATATGTCACTCTAGTTAAATACAGTTACCAGATGCACTAACATTACCTTTGTGCTTTATGTGGATACACCAGTTGGAAAAAAATTGTGGTAAATTAAGAAACCCTGAATTCTTCTCCAACTAGACCTTTGGAACTCCACTTTTCCTGTCATTAGTGGTTTTCCTTGAAATATTAGTGATTATTGTCTTAACAGGTTAACATTTATGATCTTCAAAGGCATGGGATATAGCTTACAGACTCAAAATAAAATATAGACTCAAAAAGAAATTAGTATTTCTTTTCTATTAAAAAGAGATTTTCATTTTAACCAAGTATAATAGAATTTGCGTTTTAAATTCCTAAAATGTATCCTGGACACACTGTATAGAAAATGTATTTTTACTTAAATTCAGGCTTTTTTTTTTTCTCACGAAAACATAAATGGATTTTTCTGGTCATAATGAGCTTTTTCAAATATAACAGAAATAAGGTAATACATTTTTTTTTGTATTAGCTTCCAAGCTCCAGTTCACATTCATTCAAAAATTGTTCGCAGGTACCCTAACAAGGATTCTGATTTTCAATTTATTTAAGGCAGAGTGCAAAGGCAGTTAAGTGTCTCCAAAACGCAGCAGCAGCTATGCTGTCCAAGCTCACAGGAAATGAAGGGAAGTGTGTAGGATATGATAAATCCAGGAGCGAATGCTGTTTTCTAAAAGAATATTCTGAGTCTCCTGACTGGATGATGAGATTTAAGACTATCAATGAACTCTACCAATTAAAGAGGATTAAGTAACAACACACTTGAATCTTACAGGCTTGTGGAGGAAAAAATCAAAACAAAAAGTGAAGCTTTGATGTTAAGTCAATATCTACATGCATAAACCAAGTATTAAGATCACAAAAACAACAATTTAATAAATTGATATAACTTACTCTGTATCATAATGTTATTTAAAAACTATTACAAAGTATAGGTTTATAGGAAATACGCAATAAAAACTTCTAACATGAGCTCACATTTCTTATAAATAAATTCTAATTTTAATTAATTTCCAATTCAGGCAACTAAATCAAATATTTTGTTTTCTTTATCCCAGGCTATTGTTAAAGGGTACCTTTATCAATAATCAAGGGTTCAAGATACTTTAATCAATAATAAAAAGGTTATGCAGGGGAGGAGAATAAATGATGGAAACAAAAAATAGGAAGCTCAGAAAAACAAAATGGCATGTTTAATTTACCAAAGACAATGAAGTAAATGAGAAAACACAGAGAAATACAAAAAAGTTATAAAGCATAATAAATTTTATTTTTTCATAAGTGGAAAATGACCCTGAATAGTTTTAAATGTATCTTTTAGTAGCTGGTGTCTAATAATAAACAAGCAATCTATTTTAAATGTTCTATATAGTTGTATTAACTGATTTTTAAGTTTAAAAGGTAATTTTTAATGTTGGCATTCAAAAGCAAAGATATAACTGAAAAGAAGACAGATGAACCATAAAATGATTTGCAAAATGCAGTAGCTTATGAATGCAAAATAGATTCCAGTTGTAGTAATACATATTCATATACACTCTCGCAACACACTCACACTCCTATATTCCACAGACACATTTCCATAACTTGAAAACAAATATTTCATGTATCTCAATTCAGGAAATGATTTTTACAAGTTAACCTTACAATCAGAAAGCAAGAAGATATTAAAAGCACAAGTTTTTATTTGCTAAGCTAAACATCTAAAGGAAAAAAATATTACAATGATACTGAAAGATATTTTTATTGGTATTTTAAAAGGCAAAATGCAAATGAGAATATCTTATTCAGAAAATTAATTTTCAAAATGTCTTAAATGAAATAAATATAATATCTAATACAATCTCTTCCTCTAAGAATCTATAAGATGGACAATGCTAAAAACCAAGCTTCTCATTTGAGAATCCCCAAAGTTAGCACATCCCTTTAAAAAAAAAGAAAAGATTTTCTTATAAAGGAAATGTGGCATACCCACGTTTTCTAAAATTTGTCCTAAAACTATCTTTAACATCGAAATTTTCTAAATATATTAAGTCCACTTAAATTAAAATTAAGGAAAAGATACCTAGATACAATTTCTAAGAAAACAATGCAGAAAGTAATTTATGCATGGTTTGTATGGTTATTTACAGAAAGTTTCGCTAAATAATGATATAACTATCATGTTCAAAAGTCTGACAAATCCCTTCTAATAATCAGCACTGCAGGTTTCAAAAAAACTTTATATATAACAAAGAATGTTTCCTGTGAAGAGTTATTAGATAAATCTGAAAGCCAGAAACTAAAGCATCTGACATGGTTAATAACTTCATGTTTATTATACTAAATGTCAGGTCAGAAGTCAATGGCATTTACATGCTGGAAGACTGTTTTATCACTCAACTCTTTCAATTATATCAAACACTGATTAATCAAATGTGACTGGACTTGACTGCTACAACTGTATGGTTTCTTTCAAGTATATGCAAATCTTTTGAATGGGCACATATGCAACTGTGCAAAACCAATGAAACATAAATATTTAAAAGAATGAACAGAAATGGCTTTTAAGCATAAACCACTCTGCCATTCAATTTTGAAGCTCTATTTTTTCTTCACTAATTTGTCTTCTGTGTTTAGTAGTCTTCTATCCTATTAAAGTTGCAGGTTTACAGATGATCTGGAAATTTCACATTGATGTAAGAAAGGAATGTCTGGTCGATGCAGTCTAGGGACAGAGAGAGAGTTAGTCTTAAAATGTATTAAGTTGCAATTATCCAAATGATAGTACAATGAAAACCCATTTTATAGTATGACATCAAGAATATAACAGCCTTTTGGTAAGAATGACATGAAGTAGCACAGATCAAAATATATTCTAAAGTAACCTTCTAAAGGAGAGCATCTACAAAATATTTACATTATATTTTAAACTCCTGAAAAGGAAAACAAGATAATCACACTGAATATTCACAGAATATCATTTAAATTAGTAAAATTACAAACTCTTTAGGTCACTGTAGACAAGTTAAAGAGAAAATGTGACATCTTCAAGGGGAAGGAAGAAACCTTAATGGAAAATTTAAAATAATACTTAAATACAATCCAGAAATGCAACTGCAATCATCTTCAGCAGAATTAAGTAAATTATGTTAGCTTATATAACAGTCATATAAGCATAAAATTTAAGCAACCAAATCACAAACCATATAATTTATGTATACTTAATCATAGCAACCTTGAATCATCTTGTACTTGGAGACACATCAGGAAGTTAAGTGTTTTAGTAGACCTTTGGCTTACGCAGTTCAAATACTTGAAAAGTTCAAAACAATGACGTGTATAGTAGTTGCTTTTAAAGCACCACAGCGAGGTATGAGGTCTCTTCATTGAAGATCTACTAGCTGCACAGTAAATGCATGCCTGTACTATACACGCAGCCTCCAGAAACTTACTTGGTAACTAGTAAGACAATCTCTGCTCATTTCTTTATTCTTCCATTTATTCAAGTTGTAGCCTTCGTTGTTGACATAAACTGGTATATGTTAAGAAAACAGTAACAGAGCTATTTTCTTCGCACAATCTTTACTCCTTGATCCAGTTTTTTAAATCAGTGCATGGCACTGCTTACAACAGCCAAAACATGGAAGCAAGCTACATGTCCAGTGAAAGAGGAATGGATGAAGAAGATGTGGTACGTATACACAGTGGACTATTACTCAGCCATTAAAAAGCATGAAATAATGCCATTTGCAGCAACATGGATGGACGCAGAGATTGTCATACTGAGTGGAGTAAGTCAGAGAAGGAGAAGTAGCATATGACATCTCTTCTACAGTTGCCAGGGGGAAGGGACAGTTAAGGAGTTTGGGATGGACAGGTATACACTGCTGTATTTAAAATGGATGATCAACAAGGACCTACTGTATAACACAGGGAACTCTGCTCACTGTTAGGTAGCAGGCTGGATGGGAGGGGAGTTTGCGGGATAATGGACACGTATATGTTAGCTGTCCACCTGAAGTTATCACAACATTGTTAATCAGCTAAACCTCAACAAATCATAAAGTTAAAAAAAAAAAAAAAGATCAGTGTATGGCAAATTGCTTTTCAGTCACAGATTTGGTTTTTTGTTTGTCTGTTTTAGCCTGCAGATAATTGTGTGACATTCACACTGATGCAAAATGCCCATTCTTTCTGTGTAAGTGCTTCGTCATATTCTGTTTTTCAAGCCTTTAGATTCTGAGCTGGTGGTTACTTCATGTACAACCTGTAGCCAAGCTTTAAACATAAATTTAAAGGTCTGATTTAAAGTTTTAGTTTACTAATAATGTGTTTTTTTAAAAACTAAAATGTAATGAAATTCAATTTTTTAAATGGAAGTTATCTTAAAAGTTTGTAATTTTTAAAATTTCAATACTGTTAACAGTATTCAAAATCTATTAAAAATGCTAAACTTGAGTGAACAACATGAGTACGCATTAAGCATTTAATATGCATGGGGTGAAGGGCTTCCTTGGCGGCTCAGTAGTAAAGTAATCCACCTGCCAATGCAGGAGACAAGGGTTTGATCCCTGGGTTGGGAAGATTCCCTGGAGGAGGAAATGACAACTCACTCCAGTGTTTTTATCTGGAAAATCCCACGGACAGAGGAGCCTGGAGATCTATAGTCCATAGGGTCTCAAAAGAGTCAGACACAACTTAGCAACTAAACAACAAATGCACGGGGTGAATTTGAATACAAAGGGAATAAACAGTTAATATATTAATATTTCTTACCTCTATAATAAGAAGAAATACCTTGTTCTATGAGCAGCTGCCATACTTTCAGACATGTTTCTGACTTTCAGATAATTAACAAATCCTCTGAAGAAAAGAAGCAGGCCTGAGGAGGTTGAAATATATGGATATATTATGCTCTTACAAAGAAAGGGGACATGATAAATTTAAAATAGACAATTACAAACAAGGTCCTCTTGGTCAAAGGAATTTAATGTGTAGGATTCCATTCAATCCACATTTTAAACTATAATGGTAGCTCTATTGTAAGGAAATATAATAAAATTTTACTGTACCTCCAAATTCTTTCAATTTGTTAAGCCTAGATGTATCTAAAGTAAAGCAAATCTAGCCATCAAAGTCCTAACTTACACAAAAATACACACTTATAAAAGTATTTTTTTAACAAGGAAAGCTACCTAATGTGTTTAAACTGATTCAACTCATAGAAACCCCATTTTACATGAAAGTTTTAAATCACTATAATGATTAAGCAAACTAAGACATATTTACTGATATAAAGTATTCAACAGAGAACATATGCAGTATGTGTAATTTTTAACAATTGTAGGATAAAACCAGTAATAAGCCTGTCTGGCCAGATCAGGTGCCTGTTATCTGCAAAATCTATATTTAGTGATATGTGCATTACATAAATAATCCAATTATTAGTTATTTCCAAGTAATAACAGTATATTAATTTATAATAAAAAAATTTGAGAAAAATCAAGACAGGAGACTTTGGAAGTAGGCACTCTAGTGAGTTCTTGAATGACTTAAGATATAGTTTCTATTTCAGTGTTCTCCTCTGTAAAACAGTATTTTTAAATAATAACCATTTACATCAGAAATATCTTTAGTAATTGATAAAACAAAGCCTGTGAAATGTCTCAAAGTTTCAGATGAAAAATATCAGCTAAGTGTCAAAAGCATCACCATTATTAGTGAAGTCTTTGATGTACTTAAGCATACAATTCTAAGGGAAATATTTATTAACTCTAGTAAATTTTTAACCAGGTAATAAGGGGGTGAGGTGGAGTTGGGGCAAGAAGCAGATGATACGTATTTAGGGAACTTTCCTCACCAGGAGGACAAGCCTGTCAGTTTAAACTCAAAGTCTCAAATGAAATTTGTAACCCAATTCTAAGACAATAATCGAAGCCCTAAAATAAGAAGCATGGTTACAATAAATTAGAGACAGAAGACAGAAGAGCGACACAAATAATGACTTAAAACAAGTGGTATAAATTTCACCTAAATCTGATCCCATCTGCTTCCCATATCCTCTTTTCCCTGTGTGACTCTCACTCTGAATTCTGCCCTTATGCCCTTCCAGATGCTGTTCAAAGATAATGACATTGTGATCCAAACATAAAAGTATTATTGAAAAATGTAAACCAAAATTATTTGTGAAATCCCTTCTGTAGTCTATGAAGCTGCTGTTGCTAAGACCTATTTTGCTCTGCTCAGGCATTTTCCAAAATTAGCCAATTCCCACCTAGAAACCAATCAAGCAGCAGCTATGGTTTCTCAGCGTTCTGGGGTGTGCGCAACATTCTTCTGGGTATGTGACAGCAACATTCCCATCACGGATTAAGCTTTCACATTCCCCTAAATGCTAGATTATGGCTCTGATGAGGAACTGGGGCTGTGCCTGCATTCTACTGTGTTCCACAGCTGCCTTCATAAGACTCTTCAATCCCCTAATAATATTTTTAAGCAACTATCTCACTCAATGTGCTTAAACACCTAAAAGACATTATAAATTTTTTCACTTTTGAGTAAGAAACTCAGTCAAGCACAGAATCAGTCAGAAAACAATTAACAAGACAAAAAAAACTGGTTAAACTTTTGTCCAATCAGACTCCCCAACAAAATCACAAGAGATATACCAATAATTGGAATAATTTCACTATAATTATCAGAGGAAGAATCGAGGCTCTTTAGTGACCTTTGCTGACCACTAAGATTTTGTTTCCTGAAAAATCCTACAGACACACGGCAGGACTAAACAGAAAGGCTGGGAGAACACTGCCACCTACTGAAGCGCGGTTCTCCAGTGCAAGCGATTTGCTACAGAAACGTGGACTCCTAAACCTAAGGAGAAACAACCGTATTCTTCATGTTGGTGAATAAATCTGAAATGTGGATCACAAGTATAGTGTGATTTTAGGATTAACTTAATTATCATACATCTAAAGAGGAAAACACAAGGAAAACACAGATTGGAAATCCATAAAATGCATCAATATTAATGAACGACATGCCTGGTAAGAAGAAAACACAACAGAAGCGCTGTGATCATTTAAGCATGACCCTTCCCTTCCGCCTGACTGATGAGTGACTAATGCAGGGTGCACTTCAGAAGTGTGAAGAATGTTTCAACGATCCAAAAATAAAAGAATAGGTACAATATCCAACTAGCCTCCTCTCAACATTTCCAACGATCATTAAAAGAAAATCACGCATGTCTATTTTTCAAAATAAATGCCGAAGGCAATTATTTTTTAATCATCTTATTTTCAAGTTTTGCAGTGTTCAGTTATCATTCAACCACTGATTCTTTAAATTGACAGGCTCTGAATTTTAAATCAGAAACTAGAGTGTTATGTAAAACTATCTGGATAGCCAAGATGACATGTGTTTGGATATGAGAATTTTTCAACAGAAAATTTTTCTTTCACATAAATAACACAGTATACTTACATCTTACAATTTTAGGAAATACCAAAGTTAAACTAAATGCAAATTAGTCATAGTGAAATGCACTAAGAATAAACTTACCAAGTACAAGAAATATCCACCAAAGCCAGTATTGTCCATTGAAATATCCAGTAAAATAATCAGAAAACTATGGAATGAACATAAATATATTTACTGTATTTATGGATCTAAATTTGAAAATCATAGATTAACCTCAGTTTCAGAATGATTTAATACAAATAATCGTCAACACATAAAACAGCACAAAAAGAAAGAGAGAAAAGAAAAAAATTACACAAAATTATTTGAGAAAAAAAAACTTTGAGAAGTTTTTTATCAGCAAACAAACTTATGCAACATATTTAAGAAATAAAAATCAGTTTCAAACTGCCTGTAAGGAAGAAAGATAAGTGCTATGTAACCAAATCCAACATTTTTCTCATTAAAGAGTTCACATGTCAGTTCTTTTCTCATAATCTCTCAAAGCCACAACTACCATCTCAAACACACTACAGCAACCCGCTGCTTTAGATATTAACACCAAAAGCCACATTAGTTTAATCTTATCAGATGGGGATGTTCTGCTGACCTCTAAAAAGAAGAGCTTTTGACCTTCTGCACACCCCCTACTGTTAATCACTGCCAAGAATACTAGGCACATAAAGACCCCCAACTCATTAGAGTCTTTTTTATTTTCAAACTAGATGCTCCAGCATTCATTTCCCAACAGTGAGCTGAGAACAGCTAAATGAAGCCTGAAGTGGCATTTCAACAGTTCCTACTAGCGGCCATGGTAGACAGTGTATAAATTCTCTGTGAAATGAGAATGTGAACAGACAGATGGAAGGCAGGGTTTGATGACACTGAACACAGGTATCTTTGCCTTGATTTGACAGCAGACATGATGATTTATTATTTTTTACAAGTTTTCTTTGTAAATCTGTCTCATTTTCCTGTTTGTTTTATCTACTCTGTTTCTACCAGTCTCCAACCTGAATTTAACCAAAAATGAGTTTGTTAAAAGCATGTTTGTCCTCAGATGTATCTATTTCCAAATTTGTAAGTAATTATTTCCAACTTTTCATTAGTAATTTCCACAAAAGATTAAAAATAAAAAATCTTACAGGTTTGGTAAGAACAAAAATGCTTACAAACTGTAAAATAATGTTACTGTGTGGGAAAGCACATCCACTAAAGGGTATCTAAATGTTTCTTAAAGCTTTTAAAGTATTTTCCCAGGAAGTATTTATAATACATGAACCATGATCCAAGTTCTCAGCTTTGAGTCTGAGGAATTTCAAAGAATAGAGATTTCAAAGTACCATTATAGACACAAAGCCCATGTATTCCTACACCTTCAAAATATGTACAATGAAAGAAGAATAGGAAAACTGTGAAAATATAGCTTATAAAGTAGGACAGCTGCATTACTTTTTAATCAAATGATTAATAAGAAACAAAAGGCTTTCATATAGGTTTTAGAGATTATAAGAACAAAAGGAATAAAGAACTAAAACCATATATTTTTACCTTTCTAATTCTTAGATACCTTAAAATATATTTAATATATAATATCCCCAACAAGAGGCAACCAGAAAAGAACAATGTAATTCTTCACCAGAAGTACCGACCTGCAGCTGTTCTTTATCTGTTCCCAAGTAAAGAATATAATTATCTTCATTTTGAAGTCAAAGGGAAAAACTCACTATATAAAAAGAATAAACTAATAAGCTTCAGGGCTCATTAGTAAGTTTTCAAACGGGTTTCAAAATACTAAAAAAATCAGAGGGCTCAGTCAAGTTGTGTTTGGGTTTTTTTTAATAACTCATATTTAGTAGTCAACCACAGGCTGCAAGAAATCAAATTTTGGAAAATAAATTAACCAACAGTAAGAATTTATCTGATTTAAATTTTTGAAATAATTATGATTTTATTTTGTTAATATGACACCAGTATTTTATTGTTTACTTCCTGTCTACTTTTAAAAGGAATTGTCAGCTTTTAACAAAATATATATGCAATTTTAAACAAATAATAAAAACATTAAAAGCCCTGGAGAGAATCTTGGGCTAAACATATTTACAGTAAATGTGAGGCTCACAGCAATTCAAACACAAAAAGAAAAGCAGCAATCTGATTTATAAATTACTTATTATCTAATAAAAGGAAATGTCAGGCTTTTAGGAAAAAACCTTTCCCTCAGCACTGAACTTCAAGAAGAATTTATTGCTTGGAGCATTGTAACAGAAGTCAAAGTACAGTCAAAGTTACAGAGGCAGCACAAAATTAGGAAAACAGGCACCGAACGGAAGTCAAGCTAGATTCTAATCCACAAACTGTGGGACACTCAACAAGCTATTAGACTTTTTCTTCTGTTTCATCATCAGTAAGCATCAGTGATGACACAGGACTATTCAGTGTTTATAGTGAATCACACCTGGAACACAGTAAGTGCTCACTGAATGGCAACCACTACTTTAAAACAGAAGATTCCTTAAAATCCTCTTCTTATATCAATTCTCAATATACACTACAGGTATAACATTAACCTTAATTCAGTAAAGGTATTTTAAAGGGAAACTAAACAGTCCCAGGGATTAAACTTCATGCTATTAAATTCCTTACAAAACTTTGAGAAACTCCAAAGTTTTTGAATTTAAGGTCCCATCTTATCACACTGACTGGAGTTGATGAGGAGACAATCTTAACTCCTTCACAATCTGGGGTTCCATGAGAGAATTATGGCACCCCACTCCAGTACTCTTGCCTGGAAAATCCCATGGATGGAGGAGCCTGGTGGGCTGCAGTCCATGGGGTCACGAAGAGTCTGACATGACTGGAGCTACTTAGCAGCAGCAACAGCAGCAGCAGCATGAGAGAATTAGGGCTTCACATATTAAAGTCTAACACTGCATATGTTCTAGAATGATACTAGCAATTCAATAACCTTAGGAAAACTGAGAAAGTCAAATCATTTTCCATGTTCTGTGACTCAGACAAGAAATCCCATTTGAATAATAGTCATTAATTCTATTACTAACATAACCAGGGTTGGACTACATTATCTAGTTCCAACTCTTGAGTTTTTCCTTCTAGTAACTTCCGCAGGGGCAAGGACTGTCTCTTTATCTCTGCATGCCTCATATTTATGCTTGTGGTGAGAACCTACTTTACATTTTTCAAATGAAATTAAAACAAGGAACTGCCAGGGGGCAGTTCTTACAACGGTCAGGTTTTAATCACCTTAAAAGAAGCCAGTCTGCAGGTCCCACCAAGAATCTGGGACTGTTTAATAACCACAGCCTATAATCTGGTCTGAACAGAGACATGGTGTGACAAGATTACTGAAACCCTGGGAAGTAATAAAATAAGTTTAAAAATAATGAAAAAACACATAAAATTCAGTTTTATTATTTTTGTAATGGGTGATTTTAAGATATTTAATAATGTAGGTGCATAAATGAAGTGTCTGAAGCACTGAAGCTGTCATATTAGTATGCGGTTCTACTGAAAATTTCAGGAGGACTTGACTCATTCAATTAGAAGTCATTGTTTAAATACACATGATTTGTGGAAAGTATATATTTTATTATTAATTGTATACAGCATTTAAATGTGTGGGTTACTTTTAATATGAGTAACTAATTAACAAAGCCACTTTCCTAGCTGAAGAAACCAGGGGAAAATCCTTGTAAAAAGGAGCCAAAGGGGCCTTCAAGAGGCAAAAGAAAAGAGCAGGGGGAGATTATGCCGACAGCAGTACTGCCTGTGCAATGGTCACAAAGGTTTTTTTTTGCTGAGATGGGAGAAAGAAAAGAACTTACTGTGATCTCCCTACACACCATTTTGTAAATGACATGAGGGAGGGAGACAGTGATTTCCAGGAACAACTGGAAAATGAGGAGAAAGGCTTAGATGGAACATAGGGGTCGAACCCAGGTATCCCACATTGCAGGCAGATTCTTTACCAGCTGAGCCACAAGGAAAGCCCAAGAATACTGGAGTGGGTAGCCTATCCCGTCTCCAGGGGATTCTTCCCGACCCAGGAATCAAACCGGGGTCTCCTGCATTGTAGGCAGATTCTTTACCAACTGAACTATCAGGGAAGCCCATAAAGGAAAAAAAGATGAGTTCTAATAACTACCTTAAAGGCGTGTACTTTTACTTTTGCGGGCCTCCCCAGTGGCTCAGTTGGTAAAGAATCGCCTGCAATGCAGGAGACCCAGGTTTGATCCCTAGGTCAGGAAGATCCCCTGGAGAAGGGTATTACAACCCACTCCAGTATTCTTGCCTGGAGAATCCCATGGACAGAGGTAGCTGGTGGGCTACAGTCCATGGGGTCTCAAAGAGTCAGACACAACTGAGCAACTAACACTTTTTTTACCTCTTAATGTCACCAAAAAGAAAGAAAGAGTAAAAAAATATTTACATCCGTGATAATTTCACTAGCCAACAGAAATGTTTATGTTTTAACTGAGTCCAGGCAGACCGACGCTATATCACAATAGTGCCAGCCAGGATTCACTGAGCCCATGTACTTGTGCAGTAACTGGGCAAGGTACTCAGAATATGTCCTGTTCACATCTCACGAAAATACTGAAAGGTGCCTATTATCTATTATGAAGAAACTAACACTCTGAACAATTTAAAAACTTAACAAGTCAGAACAATGATATAAAAATGATGAAATTCAAACTCAAATTTATCTGATCTCAAAGTTCTTTCCACATACTAACAAATTCTCATACAATGCAGTCAGAAAATGTTCACACCACAGAGATCACTATAATAATTAAGAAGTTAAGAATAAGTCTCAAAATAACTGAACTCATATACACAAAATACACAAAATGAACATTTATGAATCACACAGGTAATCTCACGTACTTTGATTTTAGCAATAAAAGTGGTAGAGGCTATCATGACACTCACCCTGACAATGAGGATCCATTTGATCAACGACAGGCCGAAGCCACAGATGGCACCGTACCTCCCAGCGATGGTGTTGGTGATGCAGAAGGATAAGCAAAATCCAAGCCAGTTGAAGATAAATGCCACTGGAAGCAAGAGAAATCGTTCTTTTAAAAGGCCACACACTGGAAACACATTAACAGAGACCTAATTCAGAAGACCTGAGTTTGATCCCTGGGTTGGGAAGATCCCTTGGAGAAAGGCATGGCAATGCACTCCAGTATCCTTGCCTGGAATTCCACGGACAGAGAAGCCTCGCAGGCTACAGTTCATCATGTCTCAAAGAGTAGGACATGACTGAGTGACAAATACCACTACTACTTCGTGGAATATAAATAATACTTCACTGCTCAATGGAAACAGCAGTTCTCTCTCTTTTAACTCTGTACTAAGTCTTCCTTACAGACCACAGTCTACCTTTTTCAAATGGACTTAGTTGTTTACTATCCATTAACAAATGGGTAAGCTTGGTTTCTTGTCAGTTTGGTCAACAAGAATCAATACCTTAGAGCTTATAACCCAAAACGTGAAATTGTAATTTTAGTCCAATTAAAAATTAAGTCACAATGTGGCTGCCATGCAATCCTACCCAAAAAGTCTAGTCTAAGACACCAGCCGACCAAATTGACTTTTTAAAAAAGCAGTATTAAAGATAAGCTGAATAAATTATGTATTTTAATAATAAATAAATTATACTAATGTTCCAGGAGCAAATATTGTTCACAGCCTCCTCCTACCTAACAAAACCTGTGGTTCCCCTTCCCAGGAACCCACCTACCTTTAGATCCTGTATTTAAGGGGTGGCTGGACCCCATACTTAGCCCCCAAAGGTGAGTCCTGAGTAGTCTGGGAAATCACAGGAGGCCCAAATCCCCTGCCAGTGATTTTATGTTGTAAATAGGCCTTCTGAAAAACATTCTTAAAAACACAGCAAGGAGAGCGAGGATGGAATTCAGGCTCAATGACAGCTCTAAACTGATCACTGTTGAAGCTGGGCGATGGATATGCAGATGCTTTGTTTAATTTTTTAAATTGAAACACACTTGATTTACAATGTTGTGTGTGCTAATTTTAAATTTTTGGCCACATCCTAAAGCATGTGGGATCTTAGTTCTCCAACCAGGGATCAAACCCTGCATTCCCTTGCATTGGAAGACTGAGTCTTAACCACTAGTCCACCAAGGAAATCCTACAGAGATGTTTAATATACTTTCATCCAGTTTCAGAATTTCTACAATAAAAGCTTTAAAAAAAGGAAGAAGAAGAAAAAGAAAAGGCCCTTCTTCTCCCACTGGATGTCACATTTAATCATCATACCTGAAACTGCTGCCATGATCCTGCTATCAGCTTGGGAACTAAACTATCATTCCAAGTCTGCTGGGGTGGATTGGGGCAGGGTGGGGTGGATGGGTAGATGGTGGGTGGGTGGGTCGGTGGGTTTGTGTGCACGTGTGTGTATGTGTGTGTGTGTGTGTGCTGTTTTTGTGAAGAAGAAAGCAAAGCAGAGCCACAGAACTGACACAGTCTGTGCCTGAGGTCTGCTTATCCATAGATTTCTGCTTTTATGAGACAGTCTCCTAACTATTTACAACAGCTGAGTGAGGGTTTTCTATTATTTGTAGCATAAACCATTCTGACCTAGGATTATACCCCAGGTCCCTGAGATATAATCAGAGTGCCATATTTATGTTCACGATATCAACAATATCACATAATAGTAGCAATAATAATAATAAAACTAAAGACCAACTTGAATGTAAGTCTTGTTCACAGCTCATCCTCTCACCCTAAATATCTCCAACTAAGCCCCAGGGAGAATAAAGTAAATTACCTAGAGAAATTCTGGTTTTTCAAAATTCTAAAGACATAGAGGAAATGTTTTAAGATAAGTTCAAATGAAATGGCTATTTCTTTGAAGCAATGCCCCTACTACTATCATTTCTTCCTTCCTAAAACTTTGTAGATGCAGCCTTTTTGATCATTTATGGGAAGCTATAATAGATGGTGATACAATAGCCAGAAAAATGAATTTTCAAATAAGAGACTTGTGTTTGAGTCACAACTCACTCACTGGATGTACAACCTTGGACTCACTGCTAACTTCTGTTGAGCCACAGTTCTCTGATCTTTAAGCACCGACTTCATGAGATTGATAAGAGGATTAAGTGAGAATGTTAAAAGCTTAGCACAGCACCTGGCACATGGTGGTTGCTAAACAATGTCTGCCACCATCCCTATACATACAAAACGATCTCTTCACATTACAGAGTAGGTTCCATCTTTCCTGCCAAAAACACTTCGGGGGACACTACTATAAATAAAGTGTGTGAAAGTGCGGAAGTCACTCAGTGGTGTCCAACTCTGCAACGCCATGGACTGTAGTCCACCAGGCTTCTCTGTCCATGGGATTCTCCAGGTAAGAATACTAGAGTGGGTTGCCATGTCCTCCTCCAGAGGATCCTCCCGACCCAGGGGCTGAACCTGGGCCTCCTGCACTGCAGGCAGACTCTTTACATCTGAGCCACCAGGGAAGCTACACTATATAAAGCTTGTTTATTCTCTAATTTTAGCTACCATACTGGACAACAGAGATAGAACACTTCCATTGTTCTAGAATAATCTACTGCATATAGCAGCTCTCTACCTAACTGGCTAATATTTGTGTTAACTGTGGGGAAAGCAGATAACAAAACCAGTTTTATATCTATTTAAAGAACTGTACCAAGCAGCAGCAGAGATTCCCAACTGGTTGCTACATACATGCTAATGACAAGCTGAGGTATTTCTGTCCTCAATCCTTAGGGCAGGCAGGAGAGGTCTGGGGCAGAGGACAGATACCTCCAGCCCTGAGCACCCCATCCCAGTGTGCTATGAACATTCTATCATTTTGCAAGTATCTCCTATCACAGGTATCTTCCTACATCAAAACAGGAAGCACTGACAGAGAAATCCAAAACAGCAAAATATTTCAAAAGTGTTATTTTATTTTATTTTATTTACCATTGAGCATGTATCTGTTTAGCTTTGGGGGGAAAAAGCATCTAAACACTGTCCCATTTCTTCAAAATCAGACCTACCACTATCTACTAGACATATCATTGTGCCCCAAAGAGGAACAAGATTCAAAAGGACGTAAAAGTACTTAATGAGGTGTCATGTTTTCTTTATGGTCTCCACCAGTGGTATGAATTCCTATAAACTCTGCTCATGTGATACACTTTGTTATTGACTGAACTGCACCCTCCTGGAAACTTGGAGATTAAAGTCCTAACCCCCCAGTGTGACTTACGTAGAGACAGGGCCTTTAGGGAGGCAGTTACGAGTACCTGAGGTTGTAAGGGTAAAGCCGGAATACAACAGGGCTGGCGTCCTTACAGGAAGAGGCAGAGACGGCAGGGAGTTTTCTGCGCACATGCAGAGAAGAGGCCATGTGAGGACACGGCAAGAAGACAGCCATCTGCAAGCCAGGAGGAGAACCCTCACCAGAAACCAAATTTTCTGGCTCTCTGATCTCAGACTTCTAGCTTCCAGAACCATGAGAAAATAAATTTTCATTGTTTAAGCCACCCAGTCTGTGATATTTTGTTACGGCAGCCTGAACACACATAACTTAATCACCTTTAACAACTGCTTTCACATACACATGCACTAGTTAAAACAGAGAAGCTGTGACAACTGAAGCACAGACAGATTCACTTTTTATGCCCTTTGGTCTATAAGACAGAAAGTAAAGCTGCTAAGTCTTTAACGTACAGAAAGGGCAGGGCATTCCATTTTGGATCCTCACTGGGTCCCCAGCCTCTGGGATCTAATGGCTGATGATCTGAGGTAGAGCTGATGTAATAGTTGAAATAAAGTACACAATAAATGCAATGCACATACATGAATCATTACAAAACCATCCCCCCTCCTCCCTGGTCTGTGGAAAAATTGTCTTCCATGAAACTGGTCCCTGGTGCCAGAACGTTGAGTACTGCTAAGGCATGTCTGAATTGTCAGGGAAAGGATTTAATAAACATACACTAAACCTTAGGTATGTCAAATCCATAAAAGAAAGAATGTGTAGTAGAGACAGGTGAACAGATATCAATACATGCCTAAGAGAGAAGACATGAATACTTTTCTTTCAGCTCCACCTTCATTCATGCATGTTCCACTAGAGAGCTAGAACAAAATAAGGAAGCTTAAAAGGTGTAGGGAAGTGCTCGCTTCAGCAGCACATATACTAAAATTGGAACGATACAGAGAAGATTAGCATGGCCCCTGCGCAAGGATGACACGCAAATTCGTGAAGCGTTCCATATTTTTATATTATGGCTTTGAAATTGGAAAAAAAAAAAAAAAATAAGGTGTAGGGAAGGGACTTTCCTGCGGGTCAAGTGGCTTAGACTCCACACTCCCAGTCAGAAGTCTGAGATCAATGAGTCAGAAAATTCCATTTCTGGTGAGGGTTTTCCTCCTGGCTTGCAGATGGCTGGTCAGGGAACTAGATCCCATATACCACAATTAAAAATCCCCATGCCACAACTGAAAAGATCCCACAGACAGCAGTGAAAACTGAAGATCCTGTATGTTGCAACTAAGACCCAGCACAGCAAAATAAATCAATATTTTTCTTTTTTAAAAAGGTGGAGGTCACCTATTCCCAACACAGCAAGGCCCAAGATGGAACCCAGAGAAGCAACAGGTTCATATAAGCTATACTCCTGTGGAAAAGTAAGATTTGGGGGAGTAAATACCAGGGAAGTAGGAAAATTAGCACAGGAAATTTGGTAAAGTACACTTAGTGTTGTTTCAATTACAATTCTCTGCTTGCAGTTCTTTTTTTCTTTTTCTAAGAGCAAATAAGGCAAATTTAGATAGGTGAATGGCATCTGAAAGAAGGCTGCCAATCAAATGACTTACTAGAACTGAGAGGTGAAGTCTCAGTTAAGGATGAGGAAGGCGAACACCACCTTCACTAACAGCACTCATAATTCATGGCATTTCATGTGTATTAACTCATTTGATCCATACATTAGCCTTTTAAGAAGGACGAGATCAGAATTAATTCCCTTTCACAGAAGGACAAATTAAGAGTCAGAACAGTTAGGCTCCACACACGAAGTCACAAGGTAAGTAAGAAGCATTGTGGGTAGGACTGTAGCACCCAAGTCTTTTTTTTTTTTGCAACCAAGCCTTTTACACCTGTTTACACGGATCATTTTATACATATACCTCCCACCTACCCAAAGAATTTGTTGGGTAATCAGAAAGCAATATTATATACTATAGTTTATCCATTAACTAGTATGGCTACACTTTTAAATTTTCAATAGCCACAAGATAGGTATCAATAATAAAGGGGAAAAGAGTAACTCCATAGTGAAGAAAGCTGGCGGACACCACCTTAACTTGATGAGCGCTACCATCACTAGTAATAAGATACCTAGGAATAAGATACCTAGCAATAAGATACCTAGTAAAAAGACATCCAGATCATTGCCTTCTGATAAGATGCACTGAAAAGACAGTATTTCTTGATATTCTTGGGGGATGGGGCAGAATGTACCACCTGAATCTAATCACAGGCAAACATTAGCTAAATCCAAACTGAAAGACATTCTACAAAATAACCGACCAGGATTCTACAGAAGTATCAAAGCTGTTACAAAACAAACACAGACTGAAAAACTGTTCTGGATTGAGGCAGATGATGGAAACACAGAGGCTAATACAATGTGTAATCCCAAAACAGATGCTGGACCAAGAAAAAGATATCCGTGACACAGCTGGGAAAATCTGAAAAAGATCTACAGGCTAGTCAGTATTATTTCATGATGCTAATTTAACTTCCCAATGTTGATTACTAAAGTTACATATGTTAACACTTGGAAAAGTTGGATGAAAGCTATATTCCAATTGTGCTGTTTCTGCATTTTTCTTCCTAAATTTAAAATTATTTCAAAATGAAAAGTTTAAAATGTTTAAATTTTAAACAATTTGGTACTTGCTCTGAAAACAAACAAGTGAATATTACAAATGAATGAACACCAATATAATACTAACATTAAGCACTTATTAATTTTATCACAGAAAAATCCTCATTATATATAAATGCAGTTTATATATAAATGCATTTCAAACACAGCAAATTCCCAAAGAATAATCAATTTCACTATACTTGATTCTGAACTGCATAAAGGCAAATTTCTGTCTTATCCTCATGCAATTCTCTTCATTTAAACTATCAACATTGAGAAAAACATGAAGCTAACAACGTATTTTCAGACATTTCCACTAAACTACAAGCAACAAAATGACCAAAAAATTATTTTCCTTATAAACAGAACAAATTCAATAAAATTTAACACTTCACAAATATTATGAGTTTCTTAAGGTACAGTTACAACTCTTAGATATCTCCCCTTTCTGGATGCAATTACAATATGTGAGCCCAAAGCTATATAAAAACCTAGCTTTATATGAAGAGAGTAAGTCATTGATGCCTAACAAGGCAATCAATGTGTCGTACCCAGATAACCTCTTTAAGAACTGTCGCTTATATGACTCACCCATGGTAGGTACTTGAAATTACTTACTGCATAAAGATGTTCAATACCACTAATCATTGGGGAAATGCAAATTAGACCACAACTAGATACCACCACATAACTATTAGATTTCTAAAATTTTTAAAACTCTCAGTACCAAATGCTGATGAGGATCGGAGCAATAGGAACACTCATTCACTGCTGGTGGGAATGTAGAACGGAACTGGAAGAAATTCTTACAAATCAGAATTCACATTTCAAAACATCTTTCTAATTCTTTCTAAACTTACTTGAAAGTGAAAGGAAGTAGCATAGTCCTGTGCGACTCTTTGCGACCCCATGGGCTGTAGCCTGCCAGGCTCCTCCGTCCATGGGATTTTCCAGGCAAGGATACTGGAGCGGGTTGCCATTTCCTTCTCCAGGGGATCTTCATGACCCAGGGATTGAACCTGGGTCTCCCGCACTGCAGGCAGACTCTTTACCATCTGAGCCGCCAGGGAAGCCCAACTTACAAATAACCTAGTATCTCCTTAACTTTGATTCCCTCAAGTCTAAAATGGGAATAATGCAAGTGATTAATTATTATGACAGCATGCTGATGTGAAGACTCACACATGGATAAACCTCAGAAAAGATTTCTAAGCAGAATAGATTATGTTTTTAAGCACTAGAGTTCAAGGTAATTTCCACAGATGTCACTTATCCAATGAATCAAACCTTAATTTCTAGCTTTTAACTAACGGACGTATAACTGACTTCTATTTCATTCTTTTTGAGAGAAAATCTGTTAAAAGTAGGCTCAGACACAAGGAGATAAGGCATATGTAAGACATTTTGCAGTGACACTTCAAAGGATTACGAGAAGCAAAGCATCACCAGGGGATATACACATTTCTTTCTTTACATTTTCTGAACATGAGCAAGCAATTATTGTACCAAATTTACGTGTAAACTTTAAGGTTACACGTAGTAAGAGACTGAATTGTGGATGGTGAAAACAGAGAAAGTAAAATTAAACCAACAAAAGGTTTAAATTGAAATATTCTTACTAAAAAGTCTTACTGAAAATCTTACTGAAAAATTCTTACAGTTTTATTTGCACATCTTATATAATCTGAAATGTTTAAATTATAAACCATGTTAAAGAAAATCTATTTCCAGACCTTAGAAATAGACAGCAGAAGAGAATCTAAACAACAGCTTGCTGCTGTTTAGTCGCTCAGTCATGCTCAACTGGCTACTGGATAGCTGCAGACAGCCACTAGATGGCAGTGACTGCAAATAAATCTATGCTTACTAAAGCAAATACAGGTGCCGCACGGGCCAATAGCCTTTACCCAAAGAAGTGTATCAGGAAATGAAGGTGACAATTCATATAATCTTACTCTTATAATATCAGTGCAATAGTGTCTACAAAGATTCCTATTCTAATAGGAAGCATAAAGATATATATTGTAGAAACTTAATTTAGTAAAAATGTAATAATAGGCAGATAATTTACATTAACACATTAAATGTAAACATTTATATTCGTATCAATTAACATACCACCACTGACCAAAAACAGGGCCAACCAAGTGCCTAGGTTACTGTGCATTTACAACACTGGTGTATCAGTAAAATGCTTTCAGATCTAAAAATTACAGATTGAAAAGAAGATAGCACGGTTAAGTCAAATACAGAAATGCAGAGATAATAACTAAGCTCGAGTCAAATAATTAGATGGTGTCCAATAACATGTTTTTATTCCTAAGAAATGGGTATTTATACTACAAGTAACTACAATAAATTTAAATTCTTCCTTTACCAATTAAGATTTCTTAAAAGACAACCATGAAAGGAATTAATGTTTACACTACTCTTTTTGTAAAGAAAATATGTGGGAAGCCTGCTATTAATATAAAGGGTTACCGGTTGAACTAAGAAAAAAATTAAGGTTTACTAGACTAATAGTACAAAGAAGAATTATTTTGTAGCCAAAGTGTGAATTTCCTTTTCATCATACTAAACATGTGTGCATTAATCACTCAGTTGTGTTCAACTCTTTGTAACCCCCTGGATTGTAGTCCACCAGGTTCCTCTGTCCATGAAATTCTCCAGGCAAGAATACTGGAGTGAGGTAGCCATTCCCTTCCAGGGGTCTTCCCAACCCAGGGATCAAACCCAGGTCTCCTGCATTGCAGGCAGATTCTTTACCTTTTGAGCCACCAGGGAAGTCCCGTACTTAACATATCTAATGACGAACTGTAACTAAAACCATGAGATATAAATATTGCATATACATTATTTGATTGCCAACCTGAATATAATTCAGAAAATCTGAAGAGGAAAATGTAACTGCCTGCACATCCACCCACACCCTTCTGATACTTCTATTCTTCAGCAGATGAAATGAAAGAAAGAAAAGAAGCAAGAAACCATTTCAAAATGGAGGAAAAGATAACTGAATTTTTAGACTCAGGAGTAACTCAACTCAGGAAGTATGTATTTTCTATACTGTCTATTATTAAAGTGGAATGTGGTATTTTAAGTAAAACATTCCTCAGCTTTATTATAAAAATTAACTATACAGTTGAAATACATTAAGTCAGCATGCTATCAAAGTAAGTATGAAAGCTTGAACACTTAACTAGTTGAGGGCAGAAATTAACCCTATCATAATTTTACTGATAAATTTACATACTTGAATACTGGGTTTCTATGAATTATTTTAGCAATTTAAACAGTTTGAGTGTCACATGTACTATGCGCCAATCCCTGAGTTAGGAACTGAAATAATGAAGACTATAACAAAGTCTTCTTAAAGCATAATCTACTTTATAAAGTCCAATGCTAAATTAAGAATGTTGCAAAATGTTAAAATAACTATTACTCAGGTTTCTGGTCTTCTAGTGATTCACCATTCTCCACAAATAGGACAAACTCATATTTCTGTGCCTCAAATCACACTGTCCCATTTGCCCAGACTACCTCCTGTTTAAAGACACTCAAATGGATGTTCTCTGCTCCAAAAACAGAATTTACCATTTTATTATACATGTTCCTATGGCCCCAAATGGACATGTACAATTTCACATACAAAAACATATCTAGCTTTCAATATGCTTATATGTATCTCTATACAGTAAGCATCTAGCATAATAACTGCTATATAAAGTTACCTGGTAGGTGTTGAACAAATTTGAGGACTTGCATCATAACATAAGATCATAGTTAGTTCAAGATCAAGAGCAATTTACATTTTAAACAATGTAAGACACACTGACAACACCTGTCTTTCTTCACTGTCTACACTGCTTTAAATACACACACAACTAACACCTGCAAGAAAAAGGTCTGGAAATGAAATATTACTTACTGAAAAATGCCAGCATGAAAATCCCATCATTACCCACTCTGAGCTGGTCTGCATCATTGAAATCATCTCTTGGTGGACACTCTTCCTCTTGAATCTGTAAAAAATTCACCATTAGAATAGTTCACTAACCTAATTACAACTTTATTACCTTGAGTGAAAAGATAAAAATTTATTATAAAGTCTAATGTCCTCAATGTAGTGAATAAGCAAAATGAGATAATGAGTACAATGTCTGGCACATAATAAGCACTCAAAAAATGTCAGTAATTATTAGTTTTCATGGGCACCCTTGAAAAGAGTAACTTTGAAAGAGAACACAAAAAAGATAAAAATTGAGTAACACTGTATTAATGAAAATGATATCACAAAAGAAAGATGTGACACTGCTACCTTAGTGTCAAAGTGAGAAAGGATTTTTCATAATCAACAGTGAACTCTGATACAAACTCCACGGCTGGCAATCTGGCAATATTTATCAAAAATTAAAATGTATACATCTTTTGACACAGTAACTCCAGCTCTTGAAAATCACTTGTAGGAAACGATGTAGTAAAGACAATTCACTGCAGCAATGTTAATAAGGATAAAAAATTAGATACAATATAAATTCCCATGAGCAGTGGGCTACTGTCAGGAGACAATTATCTGTGAGTCTTCGGTGTTTCTACATCTTCCAGGTAGAGGCACTGCCTGTCTATTATCTTTTCAAGGATGTTTATACAGTATACAGCTTTGAGAGGGACAAACTGTATCTCCCTTCAGAGGAGGGCTCCCTGATAGCTCGGTTGGTAAAGAATCTGTATGCAATGCAGGAGACCCCGGTTCGATTCCAGAGTCTGAAATATCCCCTGGAGAAGGGATAGGCTACCCACTCCTGTATTCTTGGCTTCCCTGGTGGCTCAGCGGGTAAAGAATTCACCTGCAATGCAGGAGACCTGGGTTCGATCCCTGGGTAGGGAAGATCCCCTGGAGAAGGGAAAGGCTACCCACTCCAGTATTCTGGCCTGGAGAATTCCTGGACTATACAGTCCATGGGGTCACAAAGAGTCAGACATGACTGACTGTGTGCTTATTGACCATTAGAAAATATTGGGTTCGCCTAAACTTAGGGTTCCACATTCCAAGTAGAGGCATCGCTTGGCCTTGTTTGAGCTGCCCTGTGGGACTTGAAACTGTCATGAGCAAATGATAATACTCTGACTACTCACTGCTGCTGTGAATAATAAAGTTTCTGTCTGATGTCTTTTGTGAGCATCCACAAAACTGTGACAAGCAAATCAGACAGCTTGCAAGTAGGGTAAAATCTCAAACCATTGATAATTCTGAGACCAATGATATAAATTATTGTATATCAAAAGCAATTAAATTCAAACAGCAAATATTTAAAAATAAATGACAATTTCCAAAATATATTAAGTGAAAGCCATTTGTACAGTACAATGCTTTTGTGTACAAAAATTATACAAATACATTAGTGTAGTTGCTTATAAATGTTGAGAAATTTCTCTGAAAGTACATAAAGTCTGTTATCACTAATTGCCTCTAATATTCAACAAACATTGAATATTTTTGTTGACAGAACACCCATTCTACATAAGACTTCACTTCCTGGTACGTGGGATACATAAAATCAAGATGTCTGTCTTTCTGAAGCCTAAATCCCAGTGAGGGGAACCAGAGAACAAATAAAGATATAATAAATAAGTTACTTATAAAATTATTAAAAGGTGTAAATGTTCTACAAAAAAAAAGGGAAAGGATGTTTAGAATATTAAGTAAGGGTTACTGTTTTAAAGATGGAGATTGCACAGGCCTCATTAAGGCAACACCGAGCAAAGACTTAAAGGAGAGGTAAGGTACGGTGGCTATACAGATATCTCATAGAAGAGTGTTTCAGGCAGAGTGACAAGCCAGTGCCAAGGTCCTAAGATAGAATCAGACCTGGCATGTTACAGAAATAGCAAGGAAGCTGACATGGTTGAAACCACTGAAAGCAAACAGGAAGAAATGTCAGAGAGTCCACGAAAGGACCCTGAGTTTTACTGAGTAAACTAGGAGGTCTTACAGAATTTTTAACAAATACATGACATGACCTGATCTTCAAATATTTAATCTCCATGTTACATACATGTTATCTCTCCTGGGTGTTTTGTTTCAACTTTTATTGGTACAGACAAAGCTCAAAGAAGCTAAGTGCCCTGCCCAAGATCACATAATTAGCTAGGGCAAGGCAGGACGTGAACCCAGGATACCAAAGTTCTTTCCATCCAAGCATGGCTGTCTCACTACATTATGTTGTTTTCCTGAAGGAAAAAGATTTTCAAAACCACACTACTCATTATTTAGGCAAAAGGATCCCTTAAACTCTGCAATCATATTTCCAAGGCCACCTTCTGATGGTCAGTGTAATCACTAACAATGATTAAATACATATTAATAAATTTTTGTATCATTTTAAGCTAATTCAAGAAATAAACGCTAAAGCATAGTAGGAGCTCAAAAAAACACTGTCAATAAAGTGGCAAGCATATAAATATTTCATATTCTTCAGAAACAGCAGTCCAAGAGATTTTACCATAGGGACATCATTTTTACAAAGATAGGTGACATATACACAAAGACGTCCTTTACAACATTAACATTGGAAAACACACTCTTGAAAAGATTCTAACAGTTCACTAGAGAGGAATGGCCCCTATATTAAGAGTATATTGATTCCATGGAATCTCACTCAACCATTAATGTAACAGAAAATACATAAAATGCTTAAAAAAATAAAACATGGTAGCTACACAATAATTTCAATTACATTAAACATTGACTTAGAAGCCCTAAAATTAAGAAAAAATTTAAACAGCTGTCTTAGGACAACAATAGTATTTTTTCTTTCTAATTTCCCACACTGGCTATTTTTAAAAAAGCATTCATTAACTTAATTAACTATTATTTATTAAACACCAAGGATGTGCTAGGTAATAGCTAGGTATTAGAAATCATCTTGGGGTTGTGCATAATTTATCAAGTGCTAGCTTTTGTGTCAAAATTGTACTCACATACAATTTTAAACAACGTACAAAAAAATGAATCCTATCCACTAGATGCTTATAAGATGAGACAAAGTGGCAAGCCATGTTTAAAAGTTTTATAAAGTGAATTATGTGAAATTCAAATATTTTTCATCAGTTCAGTTCAGTTCAGTCGTTCAGTCGTGTCCAACTCTTTGGAACCCCATGAACCGCAGCACGCCAGGCCTCCCAGTCCATCACAAACTCCCAGAGTCCACCCAAACCCATGTCCATTGAGTCGGTGATGCCATCTAACCATCTCATCCTCTGTTGTCCCCTTCTCTTCCTGCCCTCTATCATTCCCAGCATCAGGGTCTTTTCAAATGAGTCAACTCTTTGCATGAGGTGGCCAAAGTATTGGAGCTTCAGCTTCAGCATCAGTCCTTCCAATGAACACCCAGGACTGATCTCCTTCAGGATGGACTGGCTGGATCTCCTTGCAGTCCAAGGGATTCTCAAGAGTCTTCTCCAACACCACAGTTCAAAAGCATCAATTCTTCGGCATTCAGCTTTCTTTATAGTCCAACTCTCACATCCATACATAACCACTGGAAAAACCATAGCCTTGACTAGACGGACCTTTGTTGACAAAGTAATGTCTCTGCTTTTTAATATGCTGTCTAGGTTGGTCATAACTTTCCTTCCAAGGAGTAAGAGCCTTTTAATTTCATGGCTGCAATCACCATCTGCAGTGATTTTGGAGCCCAGAAAAATAAAGTCAGCCACTTTTTCCACTGTTTCCCCATCTATTTGCCATGAAGTGATGAACTGGATGTCATGATCTAGTTTTCTGAATGCTGAGCTTTAAGCCAACTGTTTCACTCTCCTCTTTCACTTTCATCAAGAGGCTCTTTAGTTCTATTTTTCATAGAAATATTAAAAATGGGTAATGCATTTCAGTAAATCTACTGAGTCATCACATAATCATACCTGCAACCCTACACAATAAAAATAAGAAACAGTAGGAAAAAGTATTGTTTCCAAGTGTCCTGACTACCTATATTCCCCCAATGAAACTGGGTTTAAGAAATAAACTTTCAGTTAATCCAGTTGAGATTTATTTACAACTCAAAGTACTCAAGTGCTAATCAGACCAGTTTTTTATCTGAATCAAGTATAGAAACTCATACTCGATGATCATCTGCAGAAAGAGGGTGCTGGAGCAGGGGGATTAGAAACAGACAAATTTGAAAGATTTTTTACAAGGGTCAAAGGTAGTTTCTTTGCACAACTCTGTTTCTACTTTTCTTAAAATTTTCCACATCTTCATAAGCTAGAGTTAAAATGGTCTCAGAAACAAGTAAAAACAGAAAACTTTTCTTTATGGGCATATTCCAATTCAGGCAGAGAATCACATTACTTTCTAAAACAAGACACTGGAAATGACGACAGTGAAGGGTTCTAACAGTAACACTTCAGTTTTCTCTCCAAAAGGTAAAATCGCTTCTATCTCAAGACACAGAGAACAAGACTTAATGATTCCTACTTTCTCTTTAGTTTTGATCCAATAGAGTGGAAGTTAGGGCAACAGAAGACATAAGGTCCTTAACATCCTTTACTGGAGTGGGTACCCATTCCTTTCTCTAGGGGATCTTCCCGACCCAGAGATCGAAGCTGGGTTTCCTGCACTACAGGCAGATTCTTTACCATCTGAGCCACCGGCAAAGCCCTAAAAACCTTTACCATTCCCAAAGTCCCCAGGGAGACATTCCCTGAGAGAAGGAGCCACTGTCCCATGTCACCAAGAGAGTGTGTGCATGTATATACAAACATGCACATAAACACACATGCCTGATAAAAACTCCACACCTTACAGATCTGTCCTCCTGCTCTATAATTCTCTCCTCCCAACATCAAAAATCCTTACTGACTGAGCTATATTTATGCCACGGTCTTAACAAAAACTTACTTAACTCTCAGATGGAAAATGCATCAATAATAAATTTGCGGTTTACTATCTTTACGTATGTGCCCAAAACTACTTATGATGATGTTTAACTTTGTGTGTGCTGGAGGATGGGAGTGGGAGAAGGTGTGGAGATGGTTTTGGCTGATGAAAGAAACCCAACCACTCAACCATCAGACAACCTACTCACTGGGAGCTGGCCTGTTGGTGGCAGGGTGAGAATACATACAAACACATTCCTCCCCACTTTGGCCCCTCACCTCATTCGAGCTTTCCTCCATGACACGATATTTTGTGTTCTTTTCCTGAACAAAATGGGGATGAATCAAAAATTTGAAATGACACCTCTAAAGTCTAAGGCAAGAAAAAAAAGGTAACAAACTCTAGCCTTGCTTGCAGCCGTGGTAAAATGTAAGTAATTCCCCACTTTTCACATGACTGAAGAATAACAGCATACATACATCTCACTCCCTATTACCGAGATAGCCACTCCTTTACCAGAACAGGAAATAACATAGGCATCTATCACTGACTCGATTACTAAGACAGGGAAGATGGGGGAGAACGGGCGCTGGAATCTTTGACCATCATTCCCAAATTCTGGGGTGGCATGTGTTCAAAGGACAGGAAAAAAAGAAGTGAATTGACAAACGTAAGTTTGAAGGCCTGGTAAATTTTGTGTGTGTGTTTTAACCTCAGTTCAGTTCAATTCAGTGCAATTGCTAAGTTGTGTCTAACTCTTTTCGACCCCATGGACTGCAGCACATCAAGCTTCCCTGGTCCATCACCAACTCCCGGAGCTTACTCAAACTCATGTCCATTGAGTCGGTGATGCCATCCAACCATCTCATCCTCTATCGTCCCCTCCTCCTCCTCCTGTCTTCAATCTTTCCCAGCATCAGGGTCTTTTCAAATGAGTCAGTTCTTCGCATCACGTAGCCAAAGTACTGTAGTTTCAGCTTTAGCATCAGTCCTTCCAATAAATATTCAGAACTGATATCCTTTAGGATTGACTGGTTGGATCTCCTTGCTGTCCAAGGGACTCTCAAGTGTCTTCTCTAGCACCACAGTTCGAAAGCATCAATTCTTCGGCACTCAGCTTTCTTTATGGTCCAACTCTCACATCCATAAATGACTACTGGAAAAACCATAGCTTTGACTAAACAGACTTTTGTCGGCAAAGTGATGTCTCTGTTCTTTAATATGCTGTCTAGGCTTATCATAGCTTTTCTTCCAAGGAGCAAGTGTCTTTTAATTTCATGGCTGCAGTCACCATCTGCAGTGATTTTTGTTGTTGTTGTTGTTTTTTCCATTTATTTTTATTAGTTGGAGGCTAATTACTTTACAACATTGCAGTGGTTTTTGTCATACATTGAAATGAATTAGCCATGGATTTACATGTATTCCCCATCCCGGTCCCCCCTCCCACCTCCCTCTCCACCC